TCAGATCGTCCATCAGTCCGTTCGGAGGAATGTCCCACACCTTCACCTGCACACACACACACACACAAACACACAACCGCTGCTGTCATGGAGACCATGTGCACAGCACACCTGAACAGTTCGCCATGGAAACTGACCGTACAGTCCTCCGAACAGGACGCGAGGCGCAGGTCGTTAAACGGGTCCCACTTGATGTCCAGCACAGGAGCGCTGTGACCGCAGACCCGCGTCTGCAGAGGACTCACACGGCCCGTCTGAAACACACACACACACACACACACGCTGACACACACACTTCATCAGAGCAGGGCTGGGTCAAAGGGGTGTGGCCTTACTTGACGGATGGAAATGACAATGAAGGCCCCGCCTCCTGTACACTCGGTCACCATGGCGATGAAGCGTGGATTGACAGCACAGAATTGGTTGTCCTGGACGCTGCGTGTCATTGACAGGCCGTGGTAGCACCGCCCCTTCACCGCCGCCTTCCCGATCACATGATGAAACGTCACACGGGAGTGATGATGGGACATCTGAACACACACACACACACACACACACACACACTCACTCACAAACACACACACACACACTCACTCACAAACACACACACACACACTCACTCACAAACACACACACACACACTCACTCACAAACACACACACACACACTCACTCACAAACACACACACACACACACTCACGCACACAAACACACACGGCTATCATAACGGCTGACAGGATGTGTGTGTGTTTGAGGAAGTGGTGTTCATTTTAGGGCTTTAGTTTGTTCCTGTGAGTGTGGTTTGTATCAAAATAATAATCCATTCTGCTGAATATCGACGTCACGTTAAGGATTTTCCAGCACATGAATCATTGAACATCCTACAAATTTGAGGGATGAATCTTTAATGCTGAAGGGAGATTGAGTTACAGAACAAGCCGTTATAACATCTGACATTGAACCTGAACGCCATTCTCACGCTCACACAACTTTCTCCATCACCATCTCAGGCCTACATTTAACTGGATCGGATATGATTACATTAATCTAATCCTGCTTAAAAGGATAAAAATAATCCATTTAAGTTGTGGATGTTAATTCATAAAATGCTTCATAAATGTTGTTCAAACCCATTTTCCCTTTAAGAACAAGCTCTCAGACCTCATTAGTCACCAGTGTTATTTTAGTATTATTTACTGTATATACTGCTATAGTTGCTGTTTATATCTGGAATTAGCTTCTTTATATTTTCAATTTTCATTTACATTTTTTTTTTATTAATTTTATGTCATTTTAATTAGTTTTTATTATTTTTTAAATATTACTATTTAGGTTTAATTCCATCACTGACTGTGAATTATGTGAAGTGTTGATTTTTACCAGGCCGCTTTTAGACACGTTTGCACTGAAATGGTGCATTAAGGTTATTAATGTGAAAACAGAAGCACTGCTGAGCACATATTTAGGATTGTGGGTAACAGTTGAAGAATCAGTCTTCTTGGTTTGGGCTTGATGGTCCTTCAGTGTCTGTCTGATCACAGTTTGAGTCCGAAAACATGATTTCTGGGAAGTTCAGAAGAAACCCTAACAGTCCAAACATTTCCTGAGAATGAGCTTTAAAGGGACATTTCACTCAAATATCATCATTTACTTAAGCTGATGTCATTTCTCAGAATATCTTCTTTTGTTTTCCACAGAAGACTAGTTTGAACGACCCGAGGGCGAGTAAATGATGACAGAATGATCATTTTTGGGTGAACTGAATAACCCAGAGAGCACAGGTTCGTCTGCGAGAGGTCTGTTAAACATCTCTTCATCTGCTGTGTACACACTTCTGATAGACGACTGTAAGATGTCAGTTTTAAATCATAAACATCTTAAAGACCTCTTCTAAACGTCTATTTGACATCTGATAGGAAACGTCCTATAGACGTAGTATTGCAGATGTAATGCAGCGTGACATATAGAGTCTCCGTGATGTGCTATGAGGTAATTGCAGAGGAAACGCTCATATTTGCTTCTCAAACAGCATAACGCACGTCGCGACACACACGCGAGCGTCTGACGCGCGTCACGTGCAGATCAGAGGCGCTTTCTCAAGAACTGATGTTTCTACACGAGCCACATCCTTCCGGTCAGCTTCCTTCTGCTTTCTGAGTGTGAGTTTGAGTTTGTCTTACCTTCAGTCACGAGGAACCCAACATCACCGACCGACACCTGCAGCGACAGGAGTGTGTGTGTGTGTTCGCTCAGATATCAGGAGGCACATCTGATTAGCGTCAGTGTTTATGAATTAATGATGAGGAAAATACAGTGTGTGTGTGAGTATATGTGTCTGTTTGTGTGCGAGTGAGTGAGTGTATGTATGTATGTGTGTGTGTGAGTGAGTGAGTGTATGTGTCTGTGTGAGTGTATGTGTCTGATTGTGTGTGTGTGTGTGTACTGTATGTGTCTGTCTGAGTGTACGTGTCTGGTTGTGTGTGTGTGTGTACTGTATGTGTGAGTGTGTGTGTCTGGTTGTGTGTGTACTGTGTGTGTCTGTGTGA